TTATGCAGAATTTGAAATCCGAGAAGTTCGCTTTGGATTCACGTGTTGTGACCATATGTGAGCATACCTTGCATCGCGCTTTTCCGCAGGGATGGCACCCTGATTGAAATTTGGGGGTGTTTGTCTTTGTTCTGACAAGAATGTCCTTCAGATTTTTATCCCGGCGGTACACCACGTGAGGTGGCTTCGCGAAAATAGAAGTTAGTCGTTTGCTTTGCCTGATTATGTTGAAATGGCGGGAAAGTATGTTGTTGATTCGTGGCGCTGATGAGGAGTAAGTTAGTACAAGGTTCGTTTGGGAAGTCGTTTTAGATACTCTGTTTGGTCCCTTAATTATATCATTCCTGTTCACGTTGCGAGCACGTAGTATGGCATCGTCAATAATGTCTTCCGGATAATTTTGTTTCAATAAGGAATGCTTTAGGTGTTCCGCGTTTCTGTCAAATTCCCGCATATCGGTGCATATTCTTCGGTACCGGTAGGCCTGAGAATATGGAATACCCGTTTTGCAATGCTTTGGGTGGCTGCTGTTGAAATGTAGGTACATTTGACGGTCTGTAGGCTTTTTGTAAAGGTTTGTTGACAAGCGGTCATTTTCGACCGTGACAGTGACGTCCAAAAAGTTAATGCTAGTTTTGGAAATTTTGTGCGTGAATTTTATTGACGGGTGGCACTTGTTAAAATCCTCTATGAAGCGGAAAAGACTTCCCTCATCATGGTTCCATATCATAAAAATATCGTCTAAGTATCTTCTGTAGTAGAAAGGTTTCAAGGTGCGTCCCTCAATGAATGGGATTTCAAGTGAAGCCATAAAGGTGCTCGCGAAGTTTGGGGCCATTTTCGTGCCCATTGCAGTGCCACTGACCTGAAGGAAATGCTTGCCATTGAACTCAAAATGGTTATAATTTGGTACAAATTCAAGAAGTGCAAGCAGTACCTCGCCACTTACACTAGTTGATGAGTTAGATTTTACATATTCAGAAACCATAGCCGCTATTCCGTCATGGTGGGGTATGTTGGTGTACAGTGAGCAGACGTCCATGGTCACCAGAAAACTGCCGCCTGGGATGTGGAGACTTGAAGTTTCGCAGATGAAGTGGTTTGTGTCCTTTGGGTAATAGGGAGAATTTGGGGGGATGTTTTTTATTAAAGAATTGATGAATTCTGATATATTTTCTGTTAATGTGCTGTTACTGGATACTATCGGACGTCCCGATTTACCTGCCTTGTGTATTTTGGGGAGCAAACAGAATCGACCAGGAACAGAATGGGCCGGTAACATTGCTTTTGACATTTTGCCGGTGATTTTCTCGTCCCGGCGGAGATTGTTTAGGGTTACTTTTATCTCCCTTTCAAATTCGGGAGTCGGGTTCGTTGGAAGTTCTTTGTAGAATTTTGTGTCTGATAGCTGTCGTTCCCCTTCCTTTAAGGAGTCCGACGTGTTTAGAATTACTATGCAGCTCCTTTATCAGCCGGTTTGATAGTAATTCCAGTGTTTTTTCGTAGTTCATCGAGTGCCCTTCGTTCTTATTTTGATATGTTGTTTCGAAATGGCCGATTTTTTTCATACGCTCTGATGATATCTTTTTGAACTGCTGATATATACATATCGAGGTGTTTGTCCCTCTGCTCACCCGGACACCATGATTTGTCACCACCAATCACTCTATTCTCGTCCGTACAGTCCTGCGATCATGAAAGTATTCACGGAGGCGGAGATTACGCGCAAAGTTATCGAGGTCTTGGTACAGTTCTAATTCATTGAATCTACCGGATGATGGACAAAGGTTAAGGCCTCTCGACAAAAGTTGAAGCTGAGCGGGTGTGAGTGTTGTGTTTGACAGATTGAGGACATTGTTCTCACAAGTTTTCGGCTGCTCTTGGCTATCACGTGGCACGGGAGTGTCAGCGTCATATTCGAGAGTAAGGATGTTTGATTAGGATTGCACTGTAGTTTTGAGTTCCCATTTTTCTTTTTCCACATGCACATACAAAGTGTTTACGTTCGCCTACCACTTGATGGCCATTGAAGGGAAACGGACGAAGATTAAAGGTAAATAGCCGACCGACCCGGTAACCGGAAACCCTTCCTTTACGCACGCCGACCGACCCATTACGGGGAAACCCTTTCTTTACGCACGCCGTCACGGACCCTCCCGGCACCGCGGCGACAATCTTTGGTGGCCCGACATACGTCGAGAACTGAACAGCACGTGATATGAACCGTATGTGGACGTACACGGACAGTTGGTTTCGTTCTCAGTGTTGACAGTGGTTCTTCCTCTCTTTACTTTCTTTCTTTTCTTTCTTTTTATTCGTCTTTTTTCTCCCCCTTTTTTGTTTTTTCCCTTTTTTTAGTTCCCTCTCACTCTTGCAAACATCTTTCAAGGCGAGAGGGACGCGGCAGCAACGAAGTTCGGAAGTTCATGTCAGTATAACTCATCCCCTGATGAAGGGAGGACCCCTCCCGAAACTGTTGGGAACTAAATATATTTATCCTTGTTGACAACGCTCCTGTTGTGCCATATCCCATACCTTCACGAAGACTAACTGACCCATTGAATTATTACACTATCACTCTATATATATATATATATATATATATATATATATATATATATATATATATTATATATATATATAGTGTTTAACGTCCTAAACCACCATATGATCCATTAAGAGTGAGTAAGCGCAAAACAGACAAGGACGTAGAAGAGACAGACACATACAGAGCGCTTGTCTGTCTCTTCTACGTCCTTGTCTGTTTTGCGCTTACTCACTCTTAATGGATTCAAACCAACTAGCCCACCAACGTGTTTTGGCACCATATGATCATGAGACACGCCTTAGTGGAGGGCTCCAGAAATATTGACCACCTGGAGGTCTTTAACGGGCCCCGAAATCTGAGCTCTCAGGCCTACAGCATGTTTGCCTCCATCGAAAATGCAGCCGCCACAGCCAGGTTTCGATCCCGCGACCTGCGGGTCAGCAGCCGAGTACCTTAGCTACTAACCATTAGGCAATTCCCTTAAAGGGCCACTCACCAGGCCCCTTACCGAATTTTTAGTTAGAGTGTGGAAGTTGTTGGGCGTTCGATGAGGAACGTTTTGTCACAAAAATTTCTCGAATAGGTTCATTACGAGTGGAGAAAACAGGTTTTTGAAGCGGCACGAAACGAGGGTGGGAGGAGACGAGCTTGAAACCCTTGCCGCTCCTTTGCGTGGCCTTCGCAAGCCAAACCTCTTCCCCACCCTCTCCGAAAATCCGAGCACGAGGTGACGTTCGCATGACGTGCCCGAACAAGCCCAGCCCCCGTGCACGCGAGCGGCGTTGCTTTGTTGACCAGCGTTATTTTGTGGTCTTCTGCCTGTTTCTGCGGCATTGTTTGGAAACGCTGGCTTAGACGCGGTAGAGTAGATGAGCACAATGAGTGCGCGAACGCGTAGGAGCGTTCCACGACGGTCGTCTGCTCAATGCGCTGACCGCGGGAACCTGAACGCATGTGAAACGCTGGCACATTAGCCCCGCATCTCGTAGCATTTAACGGGGAAAAAACTGTGAGGAAAAGGTGCACAATTTTTTATTTTGTCTCATTATTTATTTCAAGTTTTATTCATCTTTTAAAGCAACAAATACATAAGCTACGCATGTTGTGTTAAATAATTTTTGCCTTGTCACGTGGTATACTGTTGACAACGTCGAGCAGAGTCGTCTCCGTAGAGGACCAACGTGACCGCAGTGCTGTGTACGTAGGACCATTCCTACGAACCCGTCATGCCCTCATTCTCTACGCGTGCGCCGGTTGATTGATTGATGATTGATATGTGGGGTTTAACGTCCCAAAACCACCATATGATTATGAGAGACGCCGTAGTGGAGGGCTCAAGAAATTTAGACCACCTGGGGTTCTTTAACGTGCACCCATATCTGAGCACACGGGCCTACAACATTGCCGCCTCCATCGGAAATGCAGCCGCCGCAGCCGGGATTCGAACCCACGCCCTGCGCGTCAGCAGCCGAGTACCTTAGCCACTAGACCACCGCGGCGGGGCTACGCGTGCGCCGGTAGAGGGGAGGGCGAGCAGCTTTCATCTTGAAATATTTGACCCATATCCGCGGCGCGTAGCGTTGCTAAGTTTGGCAGACGTGACCATGAACGCCTCGTCTACGCATTGCGCTTGTCAGCTCAAAATTGTCAAACCTGTCGAGTGGCCCTTTAAGGCCACGTAGTGGGTGCATATCAAGTTCGAAAAGGTTTCATGCTCCTAAGTGTTCGAAGTACGCACTAGGAACAGAATATTGCTATCGCGTTTTACTCCTGAAGGCGAAGCTTTAGGGTCACCTAATTTCTTTATTATAATTTTTTAAAGTTCGCGATAGTGGCGTCTGATACAGCCACTACGGCGTGATTACCGTTTTTCAATACACCGGTGAGATGTCGTGTCACCATGCTTGTTGTTGTTAAACGCTAAACGCTGTCTTCCCCCCCCTCCCCCCAAAACAAAACAAACAAAACAAAACAAAACAACGAGAACGTTAGGATGGATGGATGAATGAATATGGCTGTACCCTTTAAATCGGGCGGTGGCTAGCGCCACCAAGCCGTAATACTTAATGAACCAAAAACTATATTTATTTTTTTTCCTTAAAAAGTGAGTTTGAGGATTCGTACTTTGCAGTGAAGAATTTAATTTTCACTCGTGCCTTGACTTTAGCCACCAATCAGATAATCTCCTTCTAGTTAAGTCTACCCGCTTAAAGTCTATTATTAGAGAACGGTGTAGACGCGCCCCTTGCGGCGAGGAAGGGCATTTTGGCTCCAACGCTGCTTACTACAACCAACGCCGAGTCGGCGTTGCTACAACACGGCTATTTTGTTGGAGGAAGAGGAGAAACATTTTTGGCGCCCGCTGCTTTCTGCGTCGAAGGCTAATCCTCACTGGTTGGTGCCCGCTCACTTGGATATCAAGTTGATAATTCTCGCCTACACAATCAAGCAGTCTTCGACGACTGTTGCGATGGAAGAAGTCGTAGCCCGAGTAGGCAACGTCGTGTTCGAGCTGGAGGTGGCCCTGGATCGACAGCTCGGCGCGCTGCCGCTGCCTTTTCCCGGCATGGACAAGTCTGGAGCAGCCGTGTGCTCTTTCTACCAGAAAGGCAGCTGCGGCAAGGGATCTGCGTGCCCCTTCCGGCACGTCAAGGGCGACCGGACAGTGGTATGTAAGCACTGGCTACGCGGTCTATGCAAGAAGGGTGATCAGTGTGAATTCCTTCACGAGTTCGACATGACGAAGATGCCGGAATGCTACTTCTACTCGCGTTTCAATGCATGTTCTAACAAGGAGTGCCCGTTTCTGCATATAGATCCCGAATCAAAAATTAAAGATTGCCCCTGGTATGACAGAGGCTTTTGCAGGCACGGCCCGCTCTGTCGCCATCGACATACACGGCGCGTAATGTGCATGAAGTATCTTTGTGGATTTTGCCCCGATGGACCCGAGTGCAAATTTATGCACCCAATGTTCGATCTACCTGCTCCAGACCCTCCGCAACAAGGATTAAAGAACATTGTGTGTCATTACTGTGGTGAGACCGGGCACAAGGCACTGTTTTGCCAAAAGGTGCCCGGTGATACACGCGAGGAGCAACAATTTCATGTGCAGTTAATTAGTCACCTCAAGGGTGCCCACCGCTGGGATCACGGGTATGGCGGCGGAACTATCACTGGACGAGGGAAACGAACCTTCAGACCTCTGGATCAAGTCACCTGCTACAAATGTGGTGAAAAGGGACACTACGCCAACAAGTGCCCCAAGGGACATTTGGCTTTTCTCAGCAGTGCTCTCCAAGTTTCTCCACACGTGTAAAGCCGATGCACGCAATATAGCAATATTTGGCTTTATTTGTCTGTTTATCAGTTTTATCAGTGAATAAAAGTAAAGTTCGTGTCAAACTTTTTTCGAAATAAGCAATCGTATGACAACTGAAAGGAAGGTGCGGCAAGCATTCGCCTATATAGAATGGTAGAACCACGCCCAGTTAGAAAGAAATATGATCGATCGATCGATGGATAGATAGATAGATAGATAGATAGATAGATTGATAGATAGATAGATATTCGTTCCAGGGATGATATTTCGTAGGTGTTCACTCAGTGGACTATCTCTTTTAGGCTGCACTGATTGTGTAGAAAGGTCGAAGCCGCTGTGCCAACTCGCTAGGTCTCAAAATTTGACTAATCAGATATTGATAAATGGTCAGTGCATATTGTGGACACTTACAGAGGATTACCCATATCGCCCATGATAAAACGCATAGCGGTGCTTCATGCGATGCACGGGTGACCGATGCTTAATGACGTGGAGGAAAAAAAATCAGCATATCCCCGGAGTGAAGGATGATGAGTGGGGTGAAGCGGCCGTCCTTGCTTCCGTGCGTCCGTCCGTGCGTCCACCCATCTGTTTGTCTGTCCATCCGTCTGCCCGCGCCTGCTGAGTGAGTCATCGAACTAGGTGGTCACGAACCACGACGAGCTAGGAGGGACAAACCCACAGCTTAAGAAGCTTCGCCCCCCAAAAAACAGCCGCACAGAATCTGGTTTGAAAGTTGCCTTCAGGCACATGGGTGCCCTAATTCCGCGTTTCGTCCATTCATCGCAGCACTAGGGCGCCCCGGTGCGCGATTTATCGGAGATGGTGTAAGGCCGCGTTCACACTGAGCATTCCGGCCGCCGAAAGTGCTCCGAATCCGGTTCGGCGGCGGCGAGATCCGCCGAAAGGGCCCTCTCCGCGCCGATCGCTCTCGGACCGATTTTTGCGGCGTCTGCCGCCGAATCGGTCACCGCGGACCAATAGGAGCGCTAGTCAAGGAATTTTGAAAAATGGCGGCCAAGCCCTACTCACTTGTTATGTCACAGTGCACGTAACTGAATGTTGAAACCAACGGGAGTTTAACCTACTCTGTGCCTACTTCGCGTCCGTATTTCGTGAAAGAGGTGACCGAGCTTGCTGTTGGCGTGACCGAGCTTGTTGCGGTATTGCAGAGCAAAACGAACCCACCAACGCCGCTGGCGTCGGTGGTTTTTCTGCTCTTCGTGCATTACAAGACAGCCACTTGCCAGCAAAGTGAGCAGTACTGTCTTTTAGATGCGGAAGCATCTTATACTCGCGCCTTGTAGTGCGCCGTCCGCGCCGTCCGCGCCGTCCGCACCGCTTCTCGAACATTCGACAGCTGACGCGCGCGCATGCGCCGTCGCGCCGTCGCCCACTCTTCCACCATCTGTGCATCCCTTCCTCCTCTACACACCGCGCGCGCTTCACTCCTCCACCATCTGTGCACCCTTCCTCCTCTACACACCGCGTTCGACATCTACAATTCTCCTGATTCTCCAGTGGACGCGCATGTGGCGTCGCGCTTCGAGAACATTCAACAGCTGACAGTGCATGCGCCGTCGAGCTGTATATATACTCAAGGTCGGCGCTCGCTCGCTCAGTTGCCGCTCGTCGGTTGGTTTGTACGGCGCGTCGACGTCCAAGGTCGCGGTGAAATGAATTCCAACGAATCCACAAACACAATGATCGACGTCCCTTCGACCAGCGCCGCCCTTTCGCATACGTGTGTACGTGTTCACTCATTTAACACCCCCTCCTACAACCACGTTAACCAATTTAGCCATCGACCCAAGTAAGTCGCAATTTAACACCCCATTTCACAACCACGTTAACCAATTTAGCCATCGACCCAAGTAAGTCGCACTTTAACACCCCGTTAACCAATTATATGCTCTGCATCCTCCTCAGTGTTCCCCCGAGGGAAGCTGCGGGCAATTTTTTCTTGCTTCTTGCGTACGAGAATTGCCGAAGTATACACCACCGGATAGCGTAGTGGCGTTTGCGAGCCGCGACAGCAACCGGGTGACAGCGCATCCATCCCGCGTTCGCCCCGTAGTAGATGGCATATTCGGCGGCGCGGGGCGCATTTAGTGTGAACGACACTGCGTTTCGGCGGCAGGGGAATTTCGGTCGCTGTAGAAAGCGGATGTTTCAGTGTGAACTAGGCTTAAGTGATGCACAATCGTAGAGTCGTTGCAGCCGTCCCTAAATGACGAACGCTTTTTAAGGGCGAAGCTCCTTAGGCCGTGGTAGTAGTAGTAGTAGTAGTAGTAGTAGTAGTAGTAGTAATAGTAGTAGTAGTGTAGCCACTTTTAGTTTATGAATTGCTCAATAGATGGCGCTGTGTGTATATGTACTTTAGGGAGGAGCCCACATGACCGCCTGCTTTAGGGTGGTGCCAGCCTTTTTTTCTTTTGTATCTAATGATACTGTCAATCCCGTCAGAGATTTTTACAGGAGTGGGTAGAGGTGTCTAAATATTATATATACACACAATATAACAAATTTCAAGATAAGATAATACAGAATAGTACAATTGTAAGAAAAAAACATTATACATGATTATAATGACAATAAACCTTTGTTAATAAGAAGTGCACATGTTTCACTCGCATACGTGCAGAAACTGAAGGAAAAATAACAAGAGTCGAGAAAGGCAACACGCCAAGATACAAAATTCGAACAACTTTCACCATTTCGGATCACAGAGATCAGTATACTCTGAAAGAGGACATGTTTTGAACAATACAATTCTGATAGCGTCGCTATCTTGTAGTTGACAGAACGCTTAGGCCAGCCAGTTCAACAAATCTGTTGACAGGAGGTTGCGCAACCGCCGTCTCGTGTAAATCATTCCACTCTCACACTGCACGCCCCCCCCCCCCCCCAAAAAAACAGTGTTGTTGGTGCATAAGTATTCTTGGAGTCTTTTGACGAGTTTGTCTAGAAGTGTTGATGGAAATGTATGTATTCGAATCTATTTTAAGTTTGTTGTGTAGGATGAGGTACATAAATTTGAGTCGGGATAGCATTGCACGACTAGCTAGCGTGTGAAGGCCAATCTATGTCAGCATCTGCGTATATGAGTCGGTGAGCCCATACCTGTATCAGATAAAACGCGCGGCTTTGCGCTGGACAGCCCCGATAGTGGCTCTTCGGTTTAGGTCGACGGGGACCATGTCACGTTCGCATGTTATAAGACAGAGCGTATAATCGTCGCATATGCCAAGAGCCTATAGCTTCTCTTGTCGAGTATCGCAAGATGTCACACAGGTCCCGTTATTTAGGGAGGCGATCGCCGGGCTAATTCCAAGGGCCGAAGTATCGGCCCCCCGAACCGCACCACGAAAGCGTGGACAATTTAGAAGTGGTCCTTTTTGGCGCGCCAGCGGACGCCGGCTGTGTCCCAAAGAACAAGTCAGAGCCGAGAGTTGATAAACAAACAAAATTATATTCTCAATAATGGCAGATCGAAAACAATACACAAGAATGTACACTCCACAATAGTTGCATACAATATGTCACCAATCAAACAACGTACTACACAGTACAATCAGCCACACTCGAAACAACGGACACAGACAACAATACGCACTACAATGCAGTCGCATGCATTGAACAACCAAGACACTTAAAGACTAAAGAGATAGGAAACCTATTCAGTCCAAAGTTCTTGGAACAAAAGTCTGGATGATACTCTTCCGAGAATCACTCACTCAAAGTCCGGCGTTGTTGTCGTTCCGCTGCCCCTTGAAGTTTCTCTTCCAGGAAACCTCGGGTCTTCAGTTGGCCTCTCTCCAAGCTTCAAACGTCTTCGCCGGAAACACGTCGGCTTCACACACGCAGCTGTTGCCACGCGTCTTCGCTCGATAGCGGTAGACACACGCTCTTGCCTGTAGCTCGAGCCTTCACCCCTGAGGTGGAAATCCTCTTCTTCTTCTCCTGCTTTGTCGCTACGGACAAAACCTTCGTCGACTACACGGCGTAATCCCTACGCGCTCTGGCGCTAACTTCCGTCTTCTCCTTCGAAGTTTCTCTTCCAGGAAACCTCACGTCTTCTCCTGCTTTGTCCCTACAGACAAAACCTTTGCCGACTACACGGCGGGATACCCTACGCGCTCTGACGTTGACTTCCGTCTTCTCCTGATCTCTCACCTCGGCTGCTCGATTAAATACCCTCCGCGCGAGATTCCAGAAGGTTCTCGTCATTTCGTCGGCGCGATACGCAGCGAAGGCTGGGGAGAGGGCGAGACGGTTCGAATGCCCTCCGCGTCGGATGACTCAACTCGGCATGACCACGCCTATTTCCTTCTAGAAATTTCGAGGGCTTGCTCGGCCGCCGATGTGGGGTGAGGAGGTTCGTCGGCGAAGCCACGCTTCCGAGGGGAGAGCGCGCGCCCGGGGAGCCTTGGATGTTTGTTTTCTTTTTTTCTTTTGACCTCACGGCGTCTCTCCCGCTCGTTATCGCAAGAATTTGGCGGCGCGCCCATTTTTAGCGCTCGTTCTGTGACACTGCCCCCCACTTTCAGAATATCATCTCATAATATTCAAAACCAAACAAACGAGCGCGAACAGTCACCGCACACTCTCACAGACTGTAACACAAACCGTCGCTCATGACACTTCACATTCACAATAGATCGCTCAATACAATTGTACGTTGTAATTCAATTCTACAACACATGAAATATAGCCACCGGTACACGAATGCAACACTCCATCACATATTTCAAGCAATACAAATGTACAAAGTTATCTCATTACAACAATTATACAATACTATACATCACATCACCGTAACAAACATTTTGACTCACTCGACATACAGTTGTGACACAGGATAACAAAGCACAACACGTTGAGGCTCAACACAGACAAACGCATTCCAATTTGACCTCAGCACCTATCCTGAGTACTTCGAGCTGCGCTTGCGCCCTTTTTTGCGGTGCTCGCCCGACCTCTTCTTGTTTTTCCTC